CTCTTTGCTGAACGAGAGCCTGACAGTGGCGGTGCCTCCTCCTCCTCCCCAGCTGGGCCCCACTACCGCCGCCTCTTGCTGCTGGAGCAGGTGCTCAAGGCCGGCACCTACGCACTGCTGAAGCGCCTAAAGGAGCGCTCCCGCGCCCACCATGTGCACAACGCAATTGCCCATGCTCTGGCTGCCGACGCCCTCCGCCACCTCTTCCTCATCTGGCGCCACCCAGGCGGGCTCGCCCTCCTCACCACCACCACACACCATGCCCCGCTCCTCCTCGACGGCTCTTCCTCGACGGGCCAGGTAAGCCAAGTACCCCTTTGGCACCGGGGGTCAGGGCTGCTGCTGCTGCAAAGGACCCCCTCTTTCTGCCACCCTCCTGCCAAAAGTCAGCGCTGCCTGGCTGCCAGAGTCGTTCAGTGGAGCCTCCATGGGCCAAGGCAGCATACCTTTGTGTGCCAAATGTCAGGGATCCTTCAACTTTGTGTCTTGGAACCAATGCTCCCTCTACACTGTGGAGTCTTGTGAGCAAAAATTCTACTTTTGTGAGCTACTGGCATTAAAGTTGTGAGCAGAATATTCTGTGCCAAGTGCGCCACTGTGTGATCCATGAGGAGATCTTTGAACAATAAAAACCCCTTCATAAATCTGGTCTCACTGTAGGTCAAAACAAGGAAAGGAAATCAGTTTTGCACATTTAGTGGTGGTAGTGGAAGGTGCCATCAAATCATAGCCAACTGATGGCAACCCCATAGGCTTTCAAGCCAGGAGCCATTCAGAGGTGGCTTGCCATTGTCTGCCTCTGCGTAGCAACCCTGGACTGCCTTGGTCGTCCCCCATCCAAACACAATCCAAAACATGCTTAGCTTCTGAGGTCTGTTGAGTTGGGGCTAGCCTGAACTATCCAGATCAGGACTTTGCACATTTAAATACAATTAATAGAATGAAAACTTTGCTCTTAACTACCAGAAATGGACTACTTGCCATACACAGAGGAATGAGAAATGCTGTTTCATAACCTCCATCGTTATAGTATATTTTAAGAGCGACAGGCGGGTAACCATGCTGGTCTGAAGCAGCAGACCAAACTCTGAGTCCAGTAGCACCTTTACGACCAACAAAGTTTTATTTGTGTGCATGCACACTTCAGGTACCAGGTTTGTTTACAATTAGTGATCACATCAAAATACTAGTGACTGTGTGAAGTTGTGGTACGTATGTTTAATGGTGATTGAAATATCTAATGTTTTAAAAAAATTAATAAAGGCACCTGTTAATAAGTTGAAATACAAGCACAAAAAGTCTCCATAGAAATAGAAGTTGGTATATTCCTTACCAGGCCCATGGCCATAGGGGGGCATTTGGGGGGGGGAATGCCTTATCATTGGTGAGCTATGGCCCAAAGAGAAATTTTTTAAAGGTTAAAACATTAAATATATATATTAAAATATTTTAAAATGTAAGATGCATGTGGGGTTTTTAAAATGACCTCAGGCACTGTCAGGGAAGCTTCGGTCTAATATGCTAATGAGTTCCTGCTGGGCTTTTTCTACAAAAAGAGCCCGGTCAGGGAGGGATTTAAGTCCCTCCTGCTCTCTCCCTGGCCCTTCCTGGCTCACCCACCGAGGCAGGCGAGCCAGGAGAGGGCAGGGTTGGAGCTCCAGAAGCAGGCTGGCTGGGGAAGCAAAAAAGGGGGAGGCATCTAAGAGTGAAGGGGTTTAAAGTTTAAACCCCTTCTCTCTGGAGTCGCACCTCTTTCTGTTGTATTCTATGGCCCCATAGAATATAATGAAAAGATAACTCTAGAGAGAAGAGGTTTAAACTTTAAACCCCTTCTCTCTTCGCTTCCCCACCCCCCACTGTAGGTCGGCTGGGGAAGGGAAGGGGAGGCTTTTGAAGATGCCTCCCCCCCTTTTTTGCTTCCCCTTCTGACATCACATCTGGTGATGTCAGGGGGTGTGGCATATGCGAATGAGCTATTATGCTAATAGCCTATTGGATATGCTAATGAGCTCCTGCAGCTCTTTTTCTACGAAATGACCCCTGGTTACCCATAAATTAAATTTTGAGTGCTAGGAAAAGTAATGACCATTATCTAATATTTTGCACCAGGAAGAAGGTATTTAGCATTGCTGACTTCTTGAAATTTTATTCTAACATATTGGGGTCATTTGCTAGTTCCATGATTGAAAAGAGAAACTGAATATTCAACAATGTTTTTGTAAGTTTATTTTCTTAACAATAATTTCTATAGTAACTCTTAATAAACTTGAGAGGTCTTTTTGGGGGGTAAACGTAAAGCTAGATTTAGTGCAAGGAACATTCAAAGATAATGCAGCAACTACAGGTCATCCTGGCGTTCTCCTAATGCTGCCAGGATTTGTGTTATGGTCCCATTAGAAGATGTGCTTGTCCACTGCTGCTCCAAGTCTGGGTTTGAAAATACCTGGAGACTTTAGGGGTGGCTCCAGGAGACGGTGGGGTTTGGGGAGGGGAGGGACCTCATCATGGTACAATGCCATACAGTCCACCCTTCAAAGCAGCCATTTTTTCCAGGGGAGCTGATCTCTGTCAGCAGGAGATCAGTTGTAAAAGCGGAAAATCCCCAGGTCCCACCTGGAGCCTGGCAACCCTAGCAGGAAGGGAAAACCTGTCTGAATCTTGATACAAACTCAGTAATACAGATTAAGTAACCATTTGCCACTGATTGTGGATTGCAGCATTATGCTTAGTGTTTAGTGAGCTAAATGGAACTTCCTCCAACGAAGTCACTCATACTTTGGCAGCCTTAGACTACAAGTCTGAGCCTCAATGCATATTCTTAAACCCTCCTGAAATCAATGAGCATAACTTCTGCCCTGTTATAGTTATTTAGCTGCATACCATATTTGAAAAGGAGATGACCCCCCCATCAGTGTTCCCTCTAAACTGAGTTAGTGTGAGCTAGCTCACAGTTTTTTAGCCTGCGGCTCACACATTTTTTGTCTTAGCTCAGGAAGGATGGCTCCAGAGCAAACTGATTTATGCAGTGGCCAAATCACTCACTCACAACTTTACTGCCAGTAGCTCACAAAGTAGATTTTTTTGCTCACAAGACTCCACAGCTTAGAGGGAACATTGCCCCCCCCCATGTTATACACAGAAAGTTCATTTTATAGCTGTACATACTTGTATTTGACTGTACAATGACATCTTCTTTTTCCTGATAGTACACCTAGGGAGAAAAACCTAGTCTTCCTTCTGTGTAAATACAGTATTCATAAAGTGCCATCAATATGCTACACACTTCTGTAATATAGAAAAGTGTATGCCCAGGTATACATGAATATCTAAATTTTACAAACAGAGAAATCGGAAAGAAATTGAGAGGCAAGGAGGGAGAAAGCAATGGGAAAGCAAAAGGCACCAACCTGCCTTTCCCTCTGTTTATCTCATCCTCTTCTTTACAATTTTTAGCCTTGCAAAGCTGCAAGTCTCCATGAGCCATAGGCAGATAGATGGTGACTGATGTTCCATATCCTCCCACTTTTTACATAACAACAGAAAATGGTACTTGTGCAACACTCTGCATTACGGAGGAGAATTTTTGTAGCCACTCAATGCTACCTTAACAAAGGAGCTAGGAAAGTTTCCAGCACCAAAACAAGGAGGTGCAATTTTTTGTTATTCTCTTGTCTCCCAACCTAAAGACAGATATGATACTGCTAATTTCTCTAAAACAGATAACATATGAGATGTAAAGTTCTTGTCCATTAAAAAAAAAATAACATACAGTCATTTTTGCTTCTTTGCAAAATGCAGGTATTCTCTTTGCAAACATTCAAGGAAAGTTTCCAGCATCTTGAAGTTATGCTTCAAAAAAACCCTGAAACAAACCTTTCTGGCTTTGCTAATATATTGATATTTCAGATCCTTATTGCATCTGTTGCTTTCTCCAGTTGGTAGATCAGGCAAAGTCTCCCCCTACACTGGAAAGCCCAGGCATACCTAACACTCAAATTATATCTGCTGAAGAATTATTCAATTTATATAACTTGGCAAAAAGGTTCGGATTTATGGCTCCCAGGGGAAAGTGCCTAGATGCTGACCATGCAGTGAAGGAATCCTTCCTGACACACTCTGTGCACATTGCAGAATATTGAAGGGGAAAATAGTCTTAACTTGTGCAAGTGAGAAAAAACAACAACAGACTGTCACCCTTTCTGGCACTGATAGAAAACAACATGAATGACCAATCAGTGGCTGTGGTCACACACACTAAATAATCCATTTTCAATTCACTTTCCGTGTACTTTCCAACTGGATTTTACTGTGTGAACTGGCAAAATCCAGTTGAAAAGTGCATTGAAAGTGGATGATTTAGTGTGTGTGACTGCAGCCAGTTCCACTTTTCAGTGAGATCTGGAAATGTTCAGAAGTAACAATAACATGTTGTTGTTTCTGAACATCTCCATATGCTGGCATAAAGTGAATGACAAATACAACACCTCCTCCATACCCTCTACATGTGCCACGACACAAGGGAAAGGGTGAAGCCTGTGGCATCCCAAATAATTTCCACATTTACTTGGCTTGGAGGCCACCTTTACAAGCATTTTGTGTACAGTATGATGCGTGCATCCTGCTCCACCATCACTCTAATTAATAATCTTTCAGATCCTTGTTACGCATCTTGAACATTTGTTGTTCTGAACGCCAGATGGACTCCTCACATAACAAATATTTCCATTTCTCATAGCCTTCTTGTCTTCTGATTTTGCCTATGAGACCAAGATTATTTTAATATCAACTTTGCAAATCTATTTCAGACCTATCCTTCTCTCTGTCCTTATGAAATGAATTCTCTTTTCAAGCTTTCTTTGTATTCTGTACAGATTTTATTCCTGGGGTAAGAATTTTTCTAGCTCAGATTCACACTATTGATATGTCTCTAATTTCCTGCCCATCTTCCTTATACTCCTAAAGTTTACCAGTCAAAGCACTGCTTAGTAATGTTTACTTACTCAATTGTGTTCTTGTCCACTTTTCCCGTCATGTTAATGCCATAGAACTGCTGCATAGCAGCTATTGCAGACTTCATTGTCTCCGCAGTGCGCAACACCGACATTCTGGGGTCAGTTGGTGGAAGATAGCCGTACTTTTGTAACCACACCTACAGTGACAACCAGAATTTGTATTAGTAAGGGTTTGTACTCTTCAATCTCCTAATAGTTACATAATTAAGCTTTTAATTCAAGTGAAAGGGAAGCAAACTGGAATAAGTTTGGTATGTTTAAATCCTCTGGAAATCAAGAATTAAAAATGCAAATAAGTACTTAGAAGCTAATTAGTTTAACAGAGCATTTTTTTTTAAAGGTACTTTGATTTCTCTGGATTACATTTGCAGACATTGCTATGTTCTTAAGCAAACTTTCAGACATGAATGGAGGTTGGACAGAAGCATTGTTTGGTTACTGGGAACTACCTGTCTTTCAGTACCCATTTAAATATGTATGGGTGTGTTGTTTTATAACCCAAGCAGAGATCCAAGACTCTCTTTCAGATGAGATGACTGATTGCTGATTAGCAAGCTTAGTGCCATTCAAGGCTGTCAACAGATATTTCAAACAAGTAAAATATGATTGCAAATATGATGTTGCCTACAACAATAACAAACTTTAGTTCCCATCATGTTTTTATTTTACTTTTTTAATCACTTTCCCGAACTATCCACCTGAATATATTCTAGAGTGCAAGAGTTGACCTCTAAACAGTTATTACATACATTCTTTAAAATGGCATGATTCATCAGTACCTTTGATTTCATCCTATACAATTTCAACAACATATGAACCTTAAGAATAACATGGAAATCCAGCAACATGGTCATTTTCCCACTGTTAGTGTTGGAAATGTGAGACTTTGTCATGGTCTAGTGATCTCTGAAGAAGGTAGCCAACCAAAGTATGTGGCCACAAGATTTCTTACCCAATTTTTGGCAGGAGAGAGAGAGTCATGAAATATTGTCTTTGATGTTGTAACTTCAAAGGCAAAAAGAACATCTTTAAAGTGCATTGCAAGGTCAGGTGTAATTCCTGCCCTTCCATATTGCCAACTGTAGACTCCTAGAACATTGGTCTATGAGCTATTGTTCATATACATCCTGCTAGGCTCCTGAGGAGACAACAGGAGACCTGAAGCACAGTGTGACAAGGACAAACCCCAGACCTCTTACCAAACATAGAACTTGTGGAGACAGCAGAGGGTCACTGCCAAAATTATGCTGTTTTCCTAAGCCACTAAAATGCCTTGTTACTGTGAGGACCATCAGCTTCTACTATCCCCAGGTCCAACTATATGAGAAGAGCTGGTGCTCCTTGACTGAGAAGTGAGGGCACTTTCTATGGTGAGTGAATTTGAGACTTGTAGTGGTGCAGATAAATCTAGATCTACTTTCATTAAAGAAATTCACCATGTAGGAAAGCAAATGAATAATCTCCCATGTGTCTGTATATTTTGATTGGGCATTATGTGAGCCAGCTATCAAATTGTGTGTTAATGTACGTCTATATATTCCTCAGCATTAGCACAACACTACTATATAAATGGATCTCAAAGTAGGTGACACCAAAACATTTGAACCAGAATGCAAATTTTAGCTCTTGTACAGAGCATGCCCCTGTCCTAGATATTCTCATCTAGTCTTTAATCCAATTCACACATCCTTTAGCAGGTTCTTTCCTACATCCTTTTTTAACTGGCTGAAAAAACAGTTTAATAGGAATAGTTCAGTTTCATGTCTCCTTCCACAAACATACTTTATGTTTAGTTCATGACCTGGAGACAGGATTTTGGTTTTAACAATTGCTTCTTTAAGGACAGTAAGGAGAATGATTCTCTTTAGCAAACAGCTAAAATACTTTGATGATGTTGACACTAAGACCTTGCTGGGCCAACTTCAGTTTGAACATTCTGTAAAGCCTTCTTGACTGGCTTGTTGTGCAAGCTTTTAGATCAGATTCAGACTTTTCAAGTGAGGAGATCCCAAAACCTTTAATATTAAAAATGTGAATATATGAATTTTATTCATTTACCTCATTAAGACCTCACTTGTCTCCACAACGGGGACCTACAGCAGCTAACATCTTTCTTTACTTCTCCATTTATTCATTTTTATCCCCCAAATTTCAGTTATTTATGGACCTCCCCCATTTATAATGGTTTTAATATTGTCAAAAAATGTACATCTCTCAACCAGAAGCTGCTTTAACAGGGCAGTCCCAACAAGAGTTCCACTCTTCTAAGCCCATCAACTTCAATGGACTTAGAAGGGTGTGACTCTGCTTAGGAGCACACTGTAAATGTAACAACCAATTGCATACAACTATACATCTACAACATTTTTTGGTATTTATGATGGATTACATGAGTCCAAAGGCTCCATCCTCACAGTAAAGTAAAAGCAACCATTATATATCATCCCATTTTTATCAATCACAAGTTTATAAACAATGGCCTAATACTGAAGTGTACAGAGCAGTCTTAATTGAATACCAGACAATTTGCCCATAGCTGCACAAGGTTTGGCCTTTAAGTCAAACTACCTAGCAGTACAAAGATTTTTAACAAGCAATTTAATTATCCAAGTGATTTCTGATTACCAGGGAATTTCCTGCCCCAGCTCCAGGCCCCCACTGTTCTTTGTTCCCCCAAGAGCAAGAATGGGGGAACAGAAAGTGACATCAAGTGACATCACTTCTGACTGTACCCAGAAGTATGGTTGCCATCTCCAAGTTGGAAAACTCCTGGAGATTTGGAGGTTGAGCCAGGGGAAAGGCAGGGTTTGGAGATGGAAGGTGCCTCAACAAGATATAATTCCATAGAGTCTACCCTCCAGAGCTGCCATTTCCCCCCCATGTGATCTCTGTATTTTGGAGGTCAGTTGTAATTCCAGGAAATTTCCAGCCTTGCCTAGAAGTTGGCAAACCTACCCAAAAGTGATATCACACAGCTCTCAGAATTCCTAAAGTTTGTGAAACGTTGCAATGTTGTTCAGCCCTCCCATTTTTGCTCCCACTGGAGTGAAGAGCCCAGTTGGCAACACTACCTAGTCCCGTAGCAAAGAGAAAAGAAATACCTGATAGATTATTCTACAGGTATTTATTTATTCAAGTAGGTGTGTCCTGCTTTCCTCCCACATCTGGGAACACAAATCAGTCCTACAGATATACAATACAGAGCTCAAACATTTTGGGCTAGAGATGCTTACACTAGTCTGGTTCACTCAAAGCCACAAAGGACAAGTCATATGGTTAAGAGCCAAAGGGTTAAGAACCCTTACATGCACATCGGTTGTCCCTGGGAAGTGCTCTCACTTGCAGATCTTTCTTATATATCTCAGCTCCTAGTAGACTTACAGTATAATCCTAAATGGAGTTACACCCTTCCAAGTCCATTAAAAGATTGCATGGTTAAACTCTAGTGGGAAATAAGATTTATCAGCATGTACCAACACACTGCTGGGGGGAAAGGAAAATCAAATAGGAATACTGTTAGTGTGAAGAGGGAAGAGGAAGAAGTACTACACTTATAAATCAAAGAAAGGCATAAGGGAGCGGTGGCGCAGGCAGTACGACGCCTGCGGTTAACATCAATAGCGAACAGCCACAATGGCTGTTCGAATCCCCACCGTGGCCGGGTTGAGCCCCCGGCCCCGTCCCAGCTCCCGCCAACCCAGCGGCTCTAGTAACAATAAGAGGAATGGGTACCTGCCCTAGGTGGCAGGGGGCACCCTCCTCCTGGCTCTGTGCTGGGAGTGCGGTCGGCAGCAGCGGAGAGAGACGAGAGAGGTGGCGGTGGCGGCGGCGGCGAGAGATGAGAGAAATGGCGGCGGAAAGAGTCTAGCGATCCAGGGAGGCGGCGGCTGAATTGAGTGGTGCCGGAGCCGGAGCGACATGGTGACGTGGGACGCAGAAAGGCAGGAGCCGACGGGACGTTTGCCGGAAGCTGCGCCCGAAAGCAGCGGCGCTCCGAAGGAGGAAAAATCATCAAGAGCCTGCTTGGACTTGGTTGCCAGCCATCCGGATCGCCAAAAGGAACAACGAGGCTGCCAGAGAGGAAGAAGGACTATGCCGCAAGGGTGCTGGTAGGATATCCCCTCCCCAAGAGAATTCTGGCCCTAGCTAGGTATTAACTACGCAGTAGTTCATTGTAAACCGCTCTGAGACCCATTAGGGGTCATGGGCGGTATATAAATCCCATGTAAATAAATAAAAAAATAAAATCTTATAAAAGTGTCTCTGGAGGTGGCCCCATCTCTTGAAGGAGCAATGGATCATTTTGTCAGTGGGTCTCATGGCTACTAACCACTACCAAAGCCTCCATTCCATACATGGCTATGTGTACTGTTGATGGTAAACCAATATAACTGATAATAGAACAAAGTATGATGGACCCCTGCTTCTTCTCCACTGTGAGGCAGATTTTCCAACCAAAACACTGTTCCCCACTCTGACTGAGCAGCCCTTTAGCAGCATATTTTGATAATAGAATTATAACTTTCTGTGTGCCCCACCCTATGATACAGAAGTTATTTAGCTTTTGCTCAGGTCAGAGATTTATTGTAGCTAAGCAGGAGCTCTCTTATAAATCTCTTTGGAAATGGCACAAAATAAAATTCAAATGGGTTGATTTTATTGAACTTGTACAGCTGAGTTAGGAATAGGGCAGAGGCTGAGAAGGTGAGAGCCAGTTTGGTGTAATGGTTAAGTGTGTGGACTCTAATCTGGGAGAACTGGGTTTGATTCCCCACTCCTCTACTTGCACCTGCTGGGTGACCTTGGGCAAGCCATAATTCTGACAGAGCTGTCCTTGAAAGGGCAGTTTCTGTCAAAGCCCCACCTACCTCACAGGGTGTCTGTTGTGGGGAGGGGAAGGGAAAGGAGTTTGTAAGCTGCTCTGAGACTCCAAGTGAAGGGCACGGTATAAATCCAATCTCTTCTTTCTATTCTTCTTCTAAATTTGGTTGTTTATACAAATTCTAATATTTTCAACAGAGTATGAAGTGTATATTCTTAGGCTGACGACAGACTGGCAGTATGAAGCATGATGGAGGCAGGGCAAAAAGACCCAGACCAAGTTGTGCCGGGGATTCTCAGTTGCACTGCACCTACT